GGGGGATCAGGGCTGTGGTAAATGAGGCATGGGGAGAGGCTCAGGGTTGTAGGCTCCCGGTGGCACTTACCTCAAATGGCTCCTGGAAGCAGCAGCATGTCCCTTCTGCGTGCTGACCCGTCCACAGGCAACACCACCGGAGGGGGCCATTGGAGCGCGCAGGAGCCGGGGCGGGGCATGCCACTGCTTCCAGGAGCCATGTGGGGCGGCCCCCGACCCTACTCCCCGGCTGGAGCGCTGGAGCGGGGCAAGCCCCAGACCCCGCTCCTCAGTGGGAGGTCGAGGGCTGGCTGAAAATGGCTGGTGAGCCGGATCCGACCCACAAGCCATAGTTTGCCCACCCCTGTTATATACTGTAAAACCTGTATGAAGAGATCACTCTTCTTTGTCAATCTCTGTTTTAAGAGACTACCCCTCCCCAAAGTATTCTCTACATCCTAAGTGTTCTGCTTGCCCTTAAGTCGACAATAATCTCTGTTAAACAACCAACTTTTCTAGGCCCTTTGTGACGCTTTACTTTCTGGACATAATGTGTGGACCTCCAAAGTGATTCTGTAAAGTAATGCACTTGAACTTTTCATGGGTCTTTAGGAGCTGAAGGATGGGCCATGTATCATTTAGAGGGTCATTTCTTCTTAGGATTTACAATCAAATCTCAGATTTTATCTATCTCCTTAATGTCGCACGGAATCAATGATCTCCACTCAGGCAATATATAGGATCTTTTTTTTTTTTTTTTTTGGTAGATGTGCTAGAAATGTAGTAATAAACTCCATGAGTAGAACTCACTTATTTTGAAATTTATGTATAGTGAATATACTCATTCATTGACTGGGTTAATCTATTATTTTTACAGTAACCATCCAGAGCATATTGCAGCCTAATTTAAGGCCATCAATCTACAATCCTAACTCAGGCAAACCTCCCACTAAAGCTAATGGAGGGTTTGCCCGAATAAGGACTGCAAGATCTAATCCTAAATAATTATTTAATGCCTGTATTCCATAATAAAAAATGTGGATATGCAGATGTTTTTGTAATGACACGATGATAGTCTCATATGTATTACTGTGGGTCTCCTAACCAAGGGTGGATCAAGGGATAATCTAGCTGCTCCATATTGAGACTCCAGTTTAAAGCCAATCATGCAGTATTAGGCTCCACAAGTTTGCTACAAAATTGAATGAGAGGTTGATGGTTTTAAATTGCATTTTAAAATGTAAACATGAAGATAGGCTATGGCAGTGTATGCTTCTAATTTTAGATTTTGACATTTATGAACCGTGAGTGATGATTATATTTTGTAAGGAAGCAAAGATTTTTGAAATGGCTAGCCCAGGAAAACTACTGAGAGATTACTATTAAAAAGTCATCATTTGCCAGTAGTTACTACACAGTGGTGTCTGGTATGCTGCAGTTATTTACTGTTCTAAATTTAGAAAACATACGTAGTGACTTAAACAGCATGTTAGCTGCATAATTGGGTTGGGTGTTGACCATGCTGGCAGTGGTTTTCTGAAACGCTTCGCCTTGTTAGCATGTGTTGATCCTGCTGGGAAAGAGTTAAGTGGGTTCTGCTGACTCACTGAGACAGGGGGCTTGTTTTCCCACCTGGATATAAGGGGAGTGTGAGTGGCTTTCTAGAGAAAAGGAGCAACGATATAGGATGGGGCTGGGCAGTCTCTCTACGCCAGTGGTTTTCAACCTTTTCATTTGCAGACCCCTAAAAATTTTCAAGTGGAAGTGTGGACCCCTTTGGAAATCTTAGACCTAAGCTGTGGACCCTCAGAGGTCTGCAGACCACAGGTTGAAAAAAACTGTTCTATGGTAATGACAATCTTTCGTGGACCCCTTAGACTGTAGACCGCGGTTGAAAAACACTGCTCTAAGCAGCTAAGTTTTGGGCTTGCACTAAACTTCATTATCTTATTCCTAAATTTTTTGTTCATAAAGCCATATCACAGGAAAGGGTTGAGTTTTTGACTCTATGCAATATGTTTTAGAGCAGTTTGGGAAAGCCACCTGCTCACAGTCCTGTATTAGAAAGTGTGTGTGTGTGTGTGTGCATAATCTGCCCTATCCAGAGTGACAGCATATAGTGCATGTGCCATCAAATCAAAATACAGCTGGTAGGTGTTATTTTAAGCCTGCTGGCCTTGACCAGGCCAGCTGTTCAAGTGATCTAAAGAGAGAAGCATTTTGGTAAAATACATTTTTGCAATACAGCATTCATGTGTCACGTTATAATAACCGATTAAATCAGAGAATGGGGAGAGGGATTATTAATAGGCTACTGAAAATGATTTGTTCTGTGAATTTATGAAATATTAATGTTCAGAGTCTTCTTATCTGATCTGAGACCATCTCCCCACATCACAGTGTGCGCAAATGGTCCCTGTAGGAATGGGAAGTTAGCATTAGTTATGTAGGTGTGATGGGGAGGCATGTGTGCAGAGTATAAGCTGTCCTTGCTAGCAGCTGCTGTGCTTCTTCTGTGTACTACTTCCTGACTGTACACCTGCCATTCCAGGGTGCTACCAAAGGCACAGGAAGTGAAGGTGGGAGCTGTGACCCTGCTTCTCCCTTGGCACTCAAAGAATTAAAGGAATGGTCCCACTCGAGGGCTTCTGAACCCTAGGAAGAAGTGGAGGAGGAGAGCAAAATAGCTGCAATGGCCTAGTGCAGCTTGACTTTTTAAACAGCTAGCTAACCCTTCTCTAACTTAGCTGTTTCTAGAGATGTCACTTCTTTGTGGCCGAACTATAGTTCTTCTTTTTCAAAACCTGGCTATTTTTAAACACATGAAATGTACTGGATCAATACATAGTGACATTAGTAAAAACGCAATTTTCTTTGCACAAGGTTCCTAATGTGCTGCACCACCAGCAGAATGGCAAGTTTTGCATCTTTAAAATGTTCTCTGTACCTTTAAAATACTACTAATGTTCATGTTTACATAGCAGAAGGTGGCAAAGATACTTTAAAAGATGCCATAAACATAATTTAAATACAAAAAATGGCTCAGGCTGTGAAACAAACTGACAAAGACCAGAAAAGATTTGGTCTGCCCTACTATTTTTTTAAATAAGTAATTTAGTAAAAAGATCCTACAAATGTAAAGCTAACACCTAGAAAATGGTATTTCTGGTATGCAACATGTTACTCGGCACCATGTTAAGCTCTGCTTATTGGGGATAGAGCTAGGACTGGATTGCTTAGAGTTGGGATTGGATCTGTTCTGGATAGTCATGCTGTAGCATTGGTGAAGCCATATTAAGTCCATTGCTGGGAAACCTCAGTCCTTTGCGTGGAAGGTGCACAGTATTTTGTTTGGATGCTATATCATTTTTATTTGTAATAAATGTACTTTATTGTACATCATATTTTAACACTTCCATTGCCCCTGCTGTGATGCTGCCATTCATTAATATTCCATTAGAATCAATAGAACATCATCATTATTGATGTGAGCATGGCTGAAACCAAATACAATGTGCTAGACATTTCTAAACACAAAATAAGACACAGTCCCCCTCCTAAAAGACAAATTGACAAAGGGCCCCACACTAAGTAAAATGGCCATGGCGGTAGTTGGCCATGTTTGGTAATACATTTTAATAATAAAATGAACTATTTTTTATCATATAAAATCTCCAAGTACTCACAACCTACCTATTATCAAACTAGAAAACCCTTGCACATCCTAGTACATTGTACAGTGTAACCTGCACTGAGTACCACCTCCTCTAGGCCAGCCCTTTCTCTTAAGGAACCATCTTAAAAAGTCCCTAAGGTTTCTAGTATGTTTTTTTTTTTAACCTTAAGTTAGATCGGCTTGTACTAGGCTACCTATTTTTGTTGGTCTCTTGGATGGTTGCTTAAGACAGGTTTCATGCTATCCTAATACTGCACAGTAAAGAATATCATAGTTTTTTAACTGAAAAGTGTAATTGTTCATATTTACACTGATAATGAAAGAGGAATCTCCACATTTCTAGGTGATGCTCTCATGTAGATAATTACATTATTATCTGCCCAGCTAAATACCATAGCAAGACGGTCCACTGGGATACGGCATTGCTCCAAAACTGCTGTCTGGTGGTGCTTGTGTGGACTTCTACATGGACAGCTTGTCCTACCACGCTGCTATGTGAGGGTCCCTCCATGCTAGCAGCATGGTTTGCTCTCCATTTCTACAAACCTGCAGAGTTGAGCGAGGAGACTCCTGTGACTATATCATAGAAGTGAATGTTGCTAATGCCATGTTGTTTTCCACTCAAAAATCTGAAGAATACTCAGGGGAGCTGCTTGTGGGGTGCAGATACTCCCTTGCTTCCAATATGATATAAGTAGAAGATTCCTTCCCCCCCCCCGCCCCATCGGTCACTCATATGAACCAGCTAAGAATTTCAATCTAATCAGTACCAAGTGAATTTAACCTTTAGTTGTGTTTAAAAGACACATGCATTTTTGAATTCACAAACTCAGCAGAGTTAACACTTATTTCCTGAGATGTGAGAGTGAAAAGGAAAAGGTTAATTAGAACCCGCATCTGATCTCTAGCATGGACTCTGTAGGATAGTGGAGATTGAATCTAATGTGTGTTTTTTGGATTCACTTTTGTCATATTCTCTGTGTGTGTGCGTATATGTATGTATGTACATAATAAATCTCAAAGATTGTTGAAAAGATACCAGTCAAAAGTGCCTAGTAATTTGGGGTCCTTGAGACCCCTTAAAAGGTCCTGATTTTCAGAAAACCCTGAGCATCTATCTGAAAATCAATGCCCTTCAAGGTGATTCAAGTTGAGCATCCAAAATCACTATTCACTCTCGAAAATTTTGGCCAGTTTATTTTCATCAGTTGCTTTAATAATAAATATACTACTTTCTGCCTATGTTATCAATGTTAAAATATTTCTGGGAGAAAAATTTTGTATATTAATTAAATTCCATTTTAATTCTCCCCTCAACTTACTTGGAATATTCTTATCTTTTCAGAAACTGTCCTATATGAAAGAAGAAATGGATGGGTGAGTATTTACACTGCCCTATACTTTATACTGTAAGGTAACAGCTATAAAGCTGAGTCGTGACATTTTGTAAATCTTTCTCTCGTTCTGGTTTCTCGCCAGCGCCTGCAGTGATTGGTCCTGTGGGTAAGTCATTTTTACTTTTTAAAGCTTGTGGCCAGACCCTGCTTTATTACACATTGCAGATTTTGTTTTTAGTCTTAAGTGATAAATGGTGAAATTCACCCTGGTGCAGAGGACTCAGGACTTAAGTAGTGTGGAGATCGCTTGTGCAAGCAACAGGCAGAGTGTCCCAGCATGGTTGGCATGTTCAGAGCGTCTCAGCCTGCCTAGTAAAGCACCTGTATTTTTGCCTCACTGAGCACAATACTGTACTTAGTTGTGTCCAGCCAGGCAAATATACAATCTTTACCGGAGAGGTGAAGAGATTAGTGCAGGATCTGAACTGGGGAAAGAGCCATGTCACTGTGGCCTGTGTTTGTAGCGGAGTACTCTGGGCTGTGACCCAGCAAGTTTGTACTTGGTGAGCCCTTCATGCCTGGAGACTTGAAACTCTAGAGATGGCTCTGGGCACCCTTGAAAATTGGACCCATTAATGTTCTGGTTGTTAATATTTTTATATATGTTTAAAATGCCATAAGAGGTGTACTCTAAACATGTTATCACAGGGAAATTAGCTGCATGGCTCCTGTTGATTTTAATAGGGAGATCTCTCACTTAAAATGCTGTGTAATGCTAATGAAATTTTTATGGTAAATATAAATAGTGCACCTGCTGGGGAAATGAGTCACTGAAAAGACTTTTTAAAAAACAAAGGTAATTGTTCTCATAACGACAGCATATAACCACAGTATCACATATAAAAACGTAATAACACAGAGGTGAAGAAAATGGCAGGACTTAAACTAAAAACAAAAGTCTCTACATTCAAAGAAAAGCTCTCCCTATCCCCCGCCCCACACTTGGCTGCTATGACATACACCCTACAAAAGCCGACTGACTTCAGTGATGTTTCAGGAGCTGTAAATCTGTTCAGAATTTGTTTGCCATCCTGCTTCCCCCATGCCATTGAGGATTTCATTTATGTAAAACAAATATTCTGGCCAATTTAATTCATTCTAGGCATCTTAAACTTTGTGGGCCTGATTCTTCTCTCACTGACATCAGTTTTATCCCAGTGTAGCTCTTACATTAATGGAGTTGCTTCTGATTTACACTTGGGTGAAAGAGTTCAGAATCAGGTAACGGGATTTGTCTCAATCTGAAGGTTGGAAGTTTTAGGAGAAAAATAAAATCTGCATGGGAAGGTTTGATTTAAAAGAAATTAAATATCTCTTCATAATAATTGCTTTACAAAACTGTACTAAATGCAGAGAAATGTGACAGGACTAGAAATAACTACTAATGAAATAGGGTTAAATGCTGGCCTGGGATGCATGGATCCATGCACAGTGATGACTTCTGCCTCACACTGCATGTTTCTGAGGACAGAAAGGGGTGCACAGTGTTTTGTTTAATGTGAACTTTACATTAACAGCTGCCTTAAGTAGTATTCTTTGACATAGGCATTGTAAAGGAGACTGATAACCAGCTGGCTAGCTAATACAATTGAATGCATCAGATGGATTTACTGTCTCTCATTTAAAGTAGGTGTACTAAACATGTTGTAGTCAACCCAGTGTAAATTACTCTGAGGCTGTTCACAGCAGAAAATTAGAGTTGGCTTTCTCATGTCTCTTATTGGAATCAATGGAGTGTTCTCCTTTTGCACTTTTGCTTTTGTCATTTAACTTTTTTTTAACATTTTAATTCTATAATATCCCACACCTCCCTCAAATTGATAGTTTATTTTGCATTTGGAGATGAGGCAATGTATTGAAACGTAGTCTGGCGGAACAAAAATATGATGTAAGAATTAAGTCAACTAACTGCTAGGTGATAACGTAAAGGGGAACATATACATTTGAATTTGCATTTGGAATTTGTCTTAGACAGATTTGCTGTGGACCAGGTGTCAGCAGAAAGAGATTCACTACCATGTACTTCAGTATATTCAAAATACACAAAATCTTTATTAAGCATTAGAGAACCAAGTCCAGAATGTGGCACCTGAAGCCTTCATTGAACTTTGGATCAGAACTTTGATGTGGCCTTACTTTTGTAAGGGCCAGAACCAGAAGACCAATTCTAAATACCCCTGAATTAGGAATGGGGTTTGTGGTTCAATCCCATCTCAAACACACAATTTCTCTTCACATTCTCCATATGTTTATTTTATTGTATTGTATTAATCATGTAGATATTTTCAACCAATGTTGGTTGGCTTTCAGTTGGTCACAAGACAAAAAATGGCTTTTGCTGTTGACCTCTGAAGTGGGCCATGATTTAGCCTGGACACTCACTGACATTGGATGTGGACAGTCCGATGAAGAGGCAGGATAGCATGGTATCCAGCTCCCATAAGCATCTAACAAGAAGAGCTGATCACCTCCCACTGCGGAGACAAATGGGATGCCTCCACTGATGTCTCCTACTGAAGGCACAAGCTGGCTGGCTCTCCTCTTGACTTTTGCACATAAGGAGCTAAGTGGTTATCTTGGGCATCCTGAGTGGTCCTTTAGGAAGAGCAGATGCCCCAACCCTCTCCAGCCTTCGGAAGGAGTCAGCAGGCAGACTCAATCTTGCCTGCTGAGGGGAACTGTTGTTCTATGCTCAAGTCCTTTATGCACATGAGGACTTTGGTGCATAACTAGGGTCCTACCAAATTCACGGCCATGAAAAATGTGTCATGGACTGTGAAATCTAGTCTTTTGTTGCTTTCAGATTTCACAGGGGAGACCAGCGTTTCTCAAATTGGGAGTGCTGAGCCAAAAGAGAGTTGCGGGGGGATGTCACAAGGTTATTTTAGGAGGGGTCACAGTGTTGCCACCCTTACTTCTGCACTGCCTTCAGAGCTGGGCGGCTGGAGAGCGGTGGCTCTTGGCCAGGCACCCAGCTCTGAAGGCAGCTCCCCACCAGCAGCAGCGCAGAAGTAAGGGTGGCAATACCATACCAGGCCGCCCTTACTTCTGTGCTGCTGCCTTCAGAGCTGGGCAGCCAGAGAGTGGCGGCTGCTGACTGAGGGCCCAGCTTTGCAGGCAGCGGTGCAGAAGTAAGGGTGGCCACACCATGCCATGCCATCCCTACTTCTGCGCTGCTGCTGCTGGCGGCGGCTCTGCCTTCAGCGCTGGGCTCCCGGCCAGCAGCCGCCGCTCTCCAGCTGCCCAGCTCCGAAGGCAGTGCCGCCACCAGCGGCAAGGCAGAGGTAAGGGTAACAGCACCGCAACCTCCCCTGCAATAACTTGCAACCCCCGCCTGCCCCTCCCCACCCCACACATACAGAGGACCTTTTAGGGTCAGGACTCTTACCGTAACAATACCATGAAATTTCAGATTTAAATTGTCTGTGCTGACTTTTGGATGCAGCTTCCTGCCAAAGATACACTTGTATATATTATGACATAAGAAGCACCTCGTTTTGTGTGAAGCTTTGGGAAAAATAAGTGGTGGTATTATCTCTATTGACTTTTTACAGGACTTTGTTCTTGGCTGGGGGGAGAAGGGAAGCAGACAGGCTGACATCCTCCGTAACCTGTATGACTGTGTCCCCCCCATGTACATCATCTTTGGAACAGGAATAGGCTGTGCACTTCCTTTATCAACCTGGGTAGTCTAGGTTGAAGGTCTGTGGTGTAACAAGTATCCTGTATTTTAGTAAACAGTTCAGCGTGCTTGGCTCTATTTTACTCCAGGATCTCATAGCCTCATAGACTTTAAGGCCAGAAGGGACCATCATGATCATCTAGTCTGACCTCCTGCACATAGCAGGTCACAGAACCTCACCCACCCACTCCTGTAATAGACCCCTAATCTCTGGCTGAGTTACTCAAGTCCTCAAATCACAGTTTAAAGACTCCAAGGTACAGAGAAGGAAGATGAGGAAGGGGGGACCCTCTGCAGAGACAAGCAGAGAGGGAAGTATTCTGTGGCCCTGGACAGTGGTGACTCCCTCTTACTTCCCTGGGATTTGGATTTTCCCATCAGGTGAAGGCCTTGGACTGAGGTGACCCTGCGGGGGGGAAGAGAGGAAGAGGCCCAGGGAGGACAACCTTAAGTGGTCTTGGTGGCCAGGTTACTGGTAGCTAAAAGGGCCCCGGGTCAGAGCTTGGTGGGGGGGGAGCAGGGGTTGTGGCTGTGACCCGCTAGGCCACGCTTCCCAACCAGACCCTGAGTGGAGACTATTGGGATCATTTTCTTTCATATTAGAGAGCTGGGGACATGGGACACATAATTATTCTTAAATTAAACAAGCAAAAAAAAATCCAGAGAAAAATCTTAACTACTAATTTATTTTTAAAATGACCTAAAAGACATCAATGGTATCACAGATGCACCATCATATGATAGATCTAAAGTGTTGCTTTGCTGTTAACTGGAGGCCTTGATCCAGCAAAGCACTTAAGTATGTACATCTTATGACTTCAGTGGGTCTATTCATGTTTAAGTGCTTTGCTGGTTTGGGACCTATAAATACACAGAAGACCGCTTCAGATCCTCTCAGAAGGCAGGGGAAAATCTGTGGCATGACTGATGTATCATAAAGAAAAGATAAAGAACCTATCTTGGGGTACACTCTTCATGAGAACTGCTTGCTTAAAAGGGCTTTCTTTCGTCCCAGTTCAGCTTGTGGGTGCCCCTAGGGCTGTGCCTTTGGACCTTACTATTGCTGCCTAGGATCAAGTAGTTAACAGAACTAGATGGTCTGAAACCAATTATTTCTGCCAAGGCACCATAGTGCAGCATTGCTCATCCTTCTTTCTTTTGTGTGCTCCTTCCTGCCTCTCCAAACATACATGTTATATTTGTATATTTTGCTGAATGCTCAGCCACGCTGGTCCAGGTCTTCACTTGTGCAGGTAGGACAAGAGAAATTACATTTTTGTCGAGTATTCTTTTCTCAAGTTCACAGTGGCCCAACAAATGCCTAAATTCTTCTCACTGAAGTCACAGGGTTGCATGAATATAACTAAGGGTAGAATTTGTCCCAGTGATTTCATGTTTGGGTGAACTTCAACATGTATTGATCC